CAAACTTCTTAATGTAGTATTATATTTTATTAGGAAACAGTATTTTCAGTACCTACTCTATGCGACAGTTCTGTGATTTGTTACTATTTAAAAATTAAAACATTTTTGTAACTATGAAATAATCTACAAAATACAGGCATTATTAATTTATTAAAACAAAAATAGTTTATGAAAAATATAAAATATTTATTTACTGTAAAATAAATAATATAGTTCATTTGCATGTTAGAAATATTAAAGAATGGAAAGTTTCTTTGTATCAGTAATTTTTCCATCTGTATTACAAAATAAAACGACTTTGAGTTGATTTATGCATGGTTAAGGGAAAAATAATATTTTTTTAAAAATAATTGGTTTTAATGAGTAAATGGAAGGTTAGATTTTATGTTTTCATAAGATAGATAAATTTGCAGTGACAATTGCAGCAAAGACCTCTTCTAAGCCTACTGGCTTACTCTGGGTGAAAGATAAGAGGCTAAGATTAACCACCTAATTGCAAAAGGGAAGTAAAAGCAAATGCGTGCTTTCCATGAACTTACTAGAGAATAAAATCTGCAACTGTACTACAAATTTTATTTGTAAGATTACAAATTCATCATAGCAGAAAATTATTTGCAAGATCTAAAATTCATCAGTTCATCCCAAGTTTGCACCATGCTTTTCACAAGCTGCAAAGCAATGACTGAATTCAGCAAGCCAGGCCCTCTGTTGACCAGTTGGAGCTTATTGAACTTCTTTAGATGCACAATGACTCTTCTGGCACATCTCCACCCTGCTACCTCCATCTACTCCTCACCTCCACCCATTGTGTCTCTAGAAATTGTTGCACTCTCATGGTCTTCCAAGTCGATCCCTCCCCGTTTTATTTCAAGTATTCTTTCTTCAATGAAATTCTTACATTTTAAATCCCCCCCAAAAATAATAAAATAAAATAAAATTCATCAGGTTTCAAAATCCAGATTTTAAGATTGATATGTAATTGCCCTGGAGAGGGCTAGAGGGCTATGTTTATTTTTCTTTAACAAATAAGTCACAACACTTGGATTTCAGAAATAAATGTGATGTGTAGTTTTTAATTGGATAGCTTAGAAAATGAGTACTGGGATGCAGTGCAGGAGAGGAAACACAAGGGTGAGACGCAGCTCATTTGCTTTCCCCCAGTGCGGTCATAAACTGCACTTGCCCTTTTATTGGTGTGGACGCTGATAAAGGCAAATCCTATTAGCAGGGCTACTGATTGGAGTGTCTGCAGTTAACAGATGCAGAGTGTGCTGAATGATTCTCTACGCAATGATTAAAAATTCAGTAAAGCAGTGTGCTTGTCACATTTAATAGAAGGCAGCATTCAAGATAAACAGATTTATGTGCACATTTGTAATATTTTTTCTTCTCTTAAAGAAGAGTTGGCATTACAGGACCCTCACATGATTCAATGAAAGTTTACACCTCAACTCATAAATCAGAGGTTGGACTCTCATGCCAATTTGCACAGACTTTTGGAAATATGACGATGCTAGCATACACAAACTATAATTAGAATGTTGAAAAATATCCAATTTAATTAGTCAAAATTTTTTTGAATTGCTAAATTTCATTTGGTTTTTAATATAACTTTATGTAACATGAAGAGTGGTGGGAATCACACTTTAAGAGGTATATAAAACATAATATAGAGTTGATCAATTATGATGAAATTCAGAATGTGTTAATTTAGTGGAGTCAAAGAATTTCATTATATTTTCACAAAAAGGAATTTTGAGTTATTTTTAATACTATATATACTTGCAACTTTGCTATCTACAGAATTTTGCTCTCAAACAATATAAAACAAATACCTCTTATTGACAGTAGGACAGACTTTTAAGATGATTTCACCTCAGAAGCACATGGAAGACAAGCAGATCACTGAGAAGCACAAGGCAGACAAACGTGTTACTGAGAAGCATGTCCTTGAGAAGCAGGGCACCGAGAAGCATGTGGCAGACAAGCAGGCCACTGAGAAGCACGTAGCAGACAAGCAGGCCACTGAGAAGCACGTAGCAGACAAGCAGGCCACTGAGAAGCACATGCTGGAGAAGCATGTGGCGGACAAGCACGCTACTGAGAAGCATGTTATTGCAGGAGGGAAGACTGAGAGCAGTACAGTCTCGGGGAAACCCACAGCTGGCACCACTGATGCAGGAGAGGCTGCAAAGATCCTAGCTGAAAAGAGACGACAGGCTTGGCTGCAGAAAGAACAGGAAGAACAAGAACGACTGGAGAAGGAAGAACAGGAGAGAATGTGAAACTTTGTATAGTGCCACTTGTGAGGTGAAAAAGGAAAGTACCAGATACCCTGGGGCTGGAACACAGCGGATACTT